TAGTCTATCACATTAATATACCATAACTTGTTCAAGACTCCCAGGCCATGTCTGATTGGACGCCCTCTATAAGCCATGATGATGGCAGGACGTGGGATGGGGGGTGGGGGCACACATATCCTCTCTCCACAATTGGATGGAAGCAGTTCGTCCTTGTGTGGTCCTTCTCACTGTTTGTTCACGTTGACCTTTTTATGCTTCTTTTCACTTCTGTGTTTGAACCTCAGGGTTTCTCCACAGCTCTGGTCTTCTCATCAGGAATGCTTGGAAGTCTTCTAGTTCACTAAAAGTCCATTTTCCCCCAGTAGCATTATACTCAGTTTTGCTGAGGAAGTTATTCTTGGCTGTGTGATCCTGACTGCTCCTCAGTACATGAATTCTTTTTTTCTGGCTGCTTCTAGGATTTTTTTTCTTTGACCTGGAAGGTCTGGATTTTGGCTTTGATGTTCTTGGGAGTTTTCATTTGGGGGTTTCTTTCAGGAAGTGACTGGTGGATTCTTTTCTGTTTCCACTTTGCCCCCTGGTTCTAAAAGATCTTGGCGGTTTTCTTTTAGGATTTCTTGAAATAGGATGCTTACACTCATTTTGTGGTCTTGGCATCCACATACTCCAGTGATTCTTACATTTTTTCTCCTCAATCTGTTTGCCAGTTCAGTTGTTTTTGCTATGAGATATTTGACATTTTCTTCTTTTTTCCAGCCTTTTGTCTTTGTTTTAATAATTCTTGTTGCTTCATGGGGTCATTGGCTTCTATTTGGTCTACTCTAATTTTCAGGCAGCTTGTTGCTTAGGTAAGGTTTTGTACCTCTTGTACCAAGCTGTCAATTCCCTTTCCAGGGAATTCTTCTAAATTCTTTTCCAATTTTTTCCTCAAGCACTCTCATTTCATTTATAGAAACATTTTTAACTCTTTTTAAAAATACTCTTATTTCATCTCTTCCAGAATTCCAGTTGAGTTTGTGCCCAAGCTATGTTTTTTTTTTCCTGAGGCTTTGCTTGAAGTTGTTTTAGAGTCACTCTCTTCTGCATTTGTGTCCAGCATGTCCCTGCCACCATAATAGCTCATGGTGGGCTTCTTTGTGTGTTTGCCCATCCTTCCAGCCTGCTTCCTGACTGCAGACTTGATGGCAGGGCTGGGCTATGTCACACTTGTGGAGGGAACGTCTGGGCTCTTCTCGCTGCTGCTTTCTCTGTGTATTGAGCGTTGGGTTGTTCCAGGATCTCAGGGACAGCTCAGGCTGGGCACCTGCAAGCTTTCAGTGCCCAGAGGGGTCTGATCCAGGGCAGAAGCTCATTACTGCCCCCTGCTCTGAGCTCTGCAATTTCCTGACCTGGGTTTGAGTCTGAGCAACAGTAGACACTACAGGCCTCAGCCCCTGTCAGCCAGCTGGCAAGCTCTGCTGGTTCAGAGCGGCAGAATTGTAAGCTCCCCTTTGGTCTGGGGTTCTCGCCCTGGCTGCTCCTCTGTAGGCTGGGCTGGATGCTGGAAGTGAGAGCTTGCTCTGAGCCCTAGCACCACTAATTCCGACTTCTGCACTTCCTCTTTTCCATTGAACAGCCAGGGGCCTCCCTGACCTATGCATAAGTTCTCTTCTCAGTCTGACCCAGATCTGTGCCTCAGCTGTTGCTTGGCACCTGTCCCCTTCTCAGTGCCCTCCTCTTGCCCTGGTGGCCTCTCCCTGGGAACTGCAGTGCTCTGCCTTGTCCTCAGTCTGCAGATATCTATTTCTATCTTTCTGTGCTGAGGTGGGCTAAACAAAGGACTCAATGTGCCATTTTCTGGATTTCCCCATCAAGATTCAGTCTGGTGCATTTTCTACATCTGTCTGGAAAAGTCTGTGGATGGGAGTTCACCACACTCTTTCCTATCCCTCCGCCAGCTTGGCTCTGACCTCCTTAACTATTTTTTGTTCTGCCCAGAAGAGACTTGCCAGTTTTGTCAGAGAAGAAAAGCCTTCTGACTCCAAATGATCTTGAATTTGAATTTTATTTTTGCTGGCCTTCCACACAATCTCAGGGTCTTTGTCTAGTTGTCTGTTCCTGATCGGGGCTGGCACTTCCATTGGTTGGCAGGACATCACAGATAGGAAGTACCTGGGCCTTAAAGATGCAGTAGCTGGAAATACATCTTTTAGACTATGTTTCTCATCCATATGACACATAGGAGGCATTTAAGAAGTAACCCCTGTGTCACTTGAAGAAGTGGTCCTTCTCCTTACAAAGGCAACAAGTAATCTCCTTCCATCCATCGTTCCCATTGGCTCCTTCCCTGATGCAAACACAGCCGAGTCTTCCCCATGCTCAAAGAACTTGCACTTGATCGGTGCATCTCCACTTGGTAGTGTCTTTTATCTGTCCTCCCTTTCGTAGCCAAACTCCTTGAGAAGGCCGTCTCTGACAGGTGCCTCTCCTTCTCATCTCACTCTCTTCAAAACTATGTGGTCTGTCTTCCAACCTCACCATTCTGCTGAGGCCAGGCTCTCCTAAGTTCTCAATGATGTCTTCATCATCAGATTGCTCATGGCCTTTTCTCAATCTTCATCTTTCTTGATCTCTCTGCAGTCTTTGACACTGTCCATCTCCGGCTCCTCCTGGACATCGCCATCTCCTGGTTCTCCCTCGATCTGACCACTCCTCATCTGTTTTGTTGGGAACTTCAGCCATGTCAAGCTCATGAGTGTCCCCAAGGCTCTGTTCTGGGTCCTCTTCTCCCTCTATACGCTCTCATTTGGTGACCTCATCAGCTCTGTGGATTCAGTTATTATGTCTCTCCAGCTCTAACCTCTCTCCTGACCTCCAGTCTCACACTTCAGATTGTTTCAAACTGGATGTTCCCGAGACATGTTTCAACTCAACATGTCTCAAATGGAATTTATTCTCTTTCCCCTGAAGCCCCTCCCTTCATCCTAATTTCCCTATTACCGTGGAAGACACCACCATCCTTTCAGGCACCCAGGCTTACAACTTAGATGTTATCTTCAACTCCTCACTTTGGGCAATTTCTACCCTTATTTATCATCCATATGCACAGAGATGAAAGGATTTGGCAGATTGTTGTGGAATCAACACAACCCCCTTTTTCACGTGGTAGAAAGGAAAAAATTGTTCCTGGCACCTGTTCCATGGGCCTCCTGAAGAGACATTGGCCCCTGGAGGTACAGCCCCTCCAATTTTTCTGAGACCCAACAGGACCAGGGCTGGGAATGCATCATCTCCCTTTGATAAGTATTGGTTTCAAAATTTGGTCAATAAAAAGTCGGGATCATTGTCTTCTGGCAATGGTTATTCAATGGAGCAGAAGTGGCAAAAAGTTCAGCCAGAACCCAATTAAAATGTAATTGGGAAATTTTTCACAAAAATAACTGAGAATACAATACAACAAGAACATAGATAATGTTAATATCTGGTTTTTTCTAAGTCAATATATGACAACCACCCCCTCCCCCCCAATTGGAGTTTGTGGTTTCCCAACTCAAATAATTCATTTCTAATGTAGTCCAGTGGCCCATGAATAGAATAGAAACCTCACTGAGCCAAATGAAATGTCATTCCCAGGAAGCCAGGGAGACAGAGAGATCAGGTCGCCTGGGCATTCACGTGGACATCTTTTCATCCACCTCTTCCCACTTTAGCCTACATCTAGAGAGGGCCAGATGACTGGGTGCTTTTGAGAGATGTCCACAAATGACCGGCATTTTTAAAGGAAAAACTGTTTGCGGAAGAAAGGAAATGCCGTGCCTGCAAGGGCTATTCTGATCCACATTTTCTCTAGGAGGAAACTGAGGCAGGCTAGCCCAGCTTGTCAAGTGCATAAGGTGGAATCTGAACTCGTTTCCGGGACTGACTGCAGGGCCAGGCCTCTCTCCACAGCACAGGAAGAGGAGACTGAATATTCAAGAGGACATAGCCATCCTCCATGACCGTGGCAGGAAGAACGCAGAAGCCCAACGTGCTCCGACGGGGCGGAGCCTCATGGACCACGTGACAGGGCACTTCGCTCCTAGGCGCGGCCGCCTCCGACCCAGCTTCCGCCCAGTCCCGGGCTGGCCGGGCCTCACGTACCACGTAAAGGAGTACTTGGGTCCGCCCCTCTCCAGGCTCTGGCCTGGCTTCGCGCAGGCCCCGCCCCCGCGCCCCCCATCCTGGGCCGTGTCACCTGACTGAGCCGCCCGGGCTCACTGCTCCGAGAGGCGCCGAGTGCGCCTGCGCTGAGCCGTTGCTAAGGAAGCTGCGTGCGGGACACCGGGCTGCTGGGAGGAGGTTGGAGGTGGCTTAGGCCGGGCCGGGCCGGGCCGGGCCGGGCCGGGCCGGGGCCGGGCCGGGCCGCGCCGGGGAGGGGACTAGGTGGAGAGCTGCGGGGGAGGAGGTGGGCGGGCCTTCTTCACTTTGGGGTGCACATCCGGGGCTATCCGGGAGCCTCGCAGAGTCCTCGGGTGCCAGACGGCAGCCTCGTGTTGGCCCCGGCCCGCGCACGGTAGCGGTAGCGGGGGCGGGGGCGGGTGGGAGGGGGGTGGTGGAGGCGGTGATCCTGAGCCGAGGCTGCTCCAGGCCTCGCACGATCCCCAGAGAAGAGGGAGCCCCCAGCCCACGGGGATCTCCCCTCCAGGGCCCAGGCACTCCTGACCGGGCTTCCTGGAGGAGCTGAGCCTTGAGTGGGCTCTTAGGGCTGGGGGCTCCAGCGCTCCCCCAAGCTGAGGGAGGAGAGGGCATGTGGTGGCCCCAGATCGGAGCCTGGAATGCTACTTGCCAAGGCCGAGAGGGCTTCCTGGAGGAGGTGGCATAAGCGCTTCTCTTTGAGGGGAAGCCCCCAAGGGGTGCGTATGGTTGTGTGTCCATGTGTGGGCATCCTGGAGGAGGGGGCTTGGGGCTCTGAGGACTCCCTGGAAAAGGCTGCCCAAACTCAAAGTGAGAAGGTGAACGTGAGGAGCAGGGGCTGGGGGTGGGAAGAAGCCTTTAGGAAGTGCAGGGAGCTCAATGCTTTACCAAGGTGAGGCCAAAGGTCCCTTAGAAGCAGCGTGCTTGGAATTGGAGTTAGCCAGGAGACCAGTGCAAAAGAGGAATGGCAACACCATGTGACTAGTGGAGGCTCCAAGCTCGCAGCTGGGGAGAGGGCCTTGAAGGAAGTCCTGGAGAGACAGCACGCTCCACTTGGGAAGCCTGGGGAGTCACTGGGCTCGCTCCCTTCTTCCACAAGCTGGACCATGGACCAGTACAACATCCTGGGCCGAATAGGTGAAGGGGCCCATGGCATCATCTTGAAGGCCAAGCATGTAGAGGTAAGTGGGGACCAGGCTGGTGCAGGAAGCAATCCGTGGCCCTTGTGAAGAAATCCTCTGGAGGCTCCTCCAGCCTGGCCTCTCTTCTCTTTGTCTGCCTCTTGTCTCTCGCTGTCTCCCTCCTTTCTCCATCTTTCTCCTCCCATATTCCTTTCTCTCCCTCCTTCCTTTCTGTTCCCTTTCTCCTTTTCACTTCTTTTTCTCTCTGTCTGGCTCTCCCCTCGATGTCTCACTCTTCTCCTCTCCTTTCCATCCCTCCTCCCCTCTTTCGTTCCCTGTCTCCCTTTCTTCCCCTGCTTCTTTCTCTCTTGTTTTCTCTTCTTTGCCCACGTTTGCCTTTGTCTCTCCATTCTCCCTTTGGCCCTTTGTCTCCCTTCATGGGTTCCCTGGGCCCTCTCCTCTCTTCTTCTCTCGGTTGGTGTTTTCCTGCATCCAGCCGTCATCCCCGTGTGGCTGATTCACTGCCATCTCTAGCTGCCATCGGTATATCCCCTCTAACTGCCTGCTGGCCCCCTGGATGCCCTCTGGACCTCTTCAGCTAAAACAGCCTATTATGATCTTCCAAGCTCTCCCTGCCCTCAGTTCTTCTGAGCATCTTTATTTCTGGCCTTCGAACCCTTAGTCACTGGTCCAGTCTTGTCATTTCCACCTCCACAACATCTCTCCCCTGCCACTGTCCCCACCTGGGCTAATGGCCTGCTTACTGTTGCTGGTGGGGGGAGGGGAGGGGAGGAGGCGGATGCTCTGCCTGCCCCGCTTGTCTCCCCCAACTCCAGTCCCCTCTCCGTTCAGCCACCAAAGGGCTTTTCCTAAAGAGCATATCTGACCACGTCCCCCTCCTGCTCAGTCGACTCCAGAGGCTTCCCGTTACCTCCAACATCAAATCCCAAACGCTCAGGCCTTCAGAGCCTTTCACAGCAACCTGTTCCCCCTTCCTCCCAGGCTTTCTGTTTGTGTCTGAGCTCCAGCCCAGCCTCCTCCATGGGCAGAAGCTGTGGCTCTCCCTTCTTCCTCCCTGGGGCCTTTCCTCAGCCCCCCAGGGATCAATGCCTCTGTCTCCACCCTTGAAGTGACCCCATACTTACTTCATATACACTCGCTAGCTATGAAATCATCTAGGCACTTGGTTCGTTTTCTCTCTGTAGAATGTGTAAACCCAGAGAGGCCAGGGATGAGTTTGGTTTTGTCCAGGTTTTGCTAGGGCTCAGCATGGCACCAGCTATACATGTAGACCTTAGTAAATACTTTTTGAATGGTAGAAGATCTGGTTTCTTGGATTAGTGGCGTGGTGCATAGAGTGCCGGCCAGACCTGGAGTCAGAAATCTTTCTGAGTTCCATTCTGGCCTCAGACGCTTCCTAGCTGTGTGACTCTGGGCAAGTCGCTTCACCCTGCTTGCCTCAGTTTCCTCATCTGTAAAATGAGCTGGAGAAGGACATAGCAAACCACTCCAGCATCTTTGCCCAGAAAACCCCAAATGGGGTCACGAAGAATTGGACGCGACTTAACAACAACGAACTGGTTTCTCAGCCTTTTTGTCTCTCTCCATCAGTCTTTGTACTTTCCTCTGGTTCTGCCTGTCTGCTGCATACAAGCCCTTCTCCTTGACTGCCTGCCTCAGTCTCCCCCGTGTCTGGGTGTGTCTTTCTTTCCTAGACGGGGGAGACAGTGGCTCTAAAGAAGGTTGCCTTGCGGCGGCTGGAGGATGGGATCCCCAACCAGGCCCTGCGGGAGATCAAGGCTCTCCAGGAGATTGAGGACAACCAGTATGTAAGTCATTCCTTCCACTTCCCTGTCTGGCCCTCTGTTTGCTCATCCGATTCCTTCCAATGCTAGATCGGGGCTCTTGTGATCAGTGAGCTCCAGAGAAGACGTTTAGATGATCTCGGGGAAGCTTCCCCAGCCCCAAGGATGATCTCGAAGCAGTGTTAGCTCTTGGGGTTCCTTGTGGGTTCAAAGTGGGCAGGAGAGGTTGGGTTTGGTGAATTCTTAAGCACCTTTGAATCCGTGCCCTCATTCTGGAACTGGAGCTGGTTGGAAAGTGACAATGTCTAAGCATACATTTGCCTGTTTTCCCCATTCCATAAAATGAGCCAGAGAAGTGGGGAAGGAGGGCACGGATTGAATGTTCCCTGGCCATCTTGGGAAGGCTTCCTATGCTCGGCTTCTGCCCTCATCTCTCCAAAGTGGCCTTTGCCCAGTGGCCTGGTCTCTCTGGAGCCGCGGAGGCTCTTTTCTTCTCTCCTCTCCTGTCTCCCCGCATTCTCCTCCTGCCTCTCTGCTTCTCAGGCTCCTTTGCTGCATCACCATCATCATAGGTAGGATTTCTACAGCACCTACTGTGTGCCAGGCACTGGACTAAGCACTTGACTTGATCCTCATGACAACCCTGTTCTTATTCTCATTGTACAGTTGGGGAAACTGAGGCAGGCAGCAGTGCAGTGACTTGCCTGAGGTCACACATGTCTGAGGCTGGATTGGAACTCAGGTCTTTTTGACTCAAGGCCACGTAGCCATGGGTGACGCCGAAAGCTCTGTCCTGGGCCCTTGGCTCTTTCTGCACCCTCTCACTTGACGAGCTCATCACTTCTCTTGGATTCAGTGACCATGCTCAGATGTATGTCACCAGCCCTGGCCTCTCTCCTCATCTCTGGGCCTCCGCCATCCTCCTGGCCTCTCTGCCTTCCTGGAAGCCAGTGCCTGATGGAGCGAGCTGAGCCTTCCGTTTGGCATTTCGCCCGTTCCATGGCCTCCTTTTCCTTCTGGCCTCTGGGTGGCCTCCTCACTTGTGGCCTCCCCTTCTCGAAGGCAGGGACTTTGGTCTCACCTCCCTTCGTATCCCCAGCGCTCAGCACACAGTGGGCACTTAATACATGCTGCTTGAGCTAACGGACCATTTCCAAACACCTTTTGCTTTGCTTCAGTTTCTCCTGTTCTATGAATTGAGTCAATGTGCACACACTGGTGTTGGAGGAGGTGGAAAGGGTTAAGAGAACAAGCAATTATTAAGTGCCTACTAAGTGAGTCATTCACAGTTATTTTCTCACGAGACCCTCACAACCACCTTCAGACGTCGGTGCTATGATGATCCCCATTTTACAACTGAGAAAACTGAGGCAGTGAAGTGACTTGCCCAGGGTCATACAGCCAATAAGTGCCTGGGGCTAGATTTTGAGACCCAACCTTCTATCCACAGCATCACCTAGCTGCAAAGAGGCCCTTGCCTTAGTTTCCCTTATCCTGTGAAAGGGTTAGGCCTAGGTTGGGTAGTCAGTCTCTAAACATCCCATGAAGCATGTGGCACTTTCATGCCTTGGCTTCTCTCATCTTGTGAAATGAGTTTGTGGACACAGTGACCTCCAAGCACCCTTGAATGGGGGCCCAGGTGGGACAATCTCGAAGCCCTCTCAAGCCTCATGTTTTCCCCATCCTAGGAAAGAGGAGTTTGGGCTCAGGTTTGACCAGATGATCCAGCAACACTTTCTGGCCTCAGTTTCCCCTACAGAATGAAAGAACTTTGGTGGCAGGAGGGCTTAGGATGCAGTGATCCCTTGTGCCTTGATTTCCTACCTTCTATAAAATTCTCTAAGTACCCTTATCAGGTGTCCTGGCACCCACAGGTGGTGAAGTTGAAGGCTGTGTTCCCGCATGGAGCAGGCTTCGTCCTGGCTTTTGAGTTCATGCTTTCTGACCTGTCTGAGGTCATCCGGCATGGGAAGTGGCCTCTGGCCCCAGCTCAGGTTAAAGCGTACATGCAAATGCTGCTCAAGGGTGTAGCCTTCTGCCACGCCAACAACATTGTACACCGGGTACGAATACCCAGAGGGCCAGTGCCCGAGCCTTTTGGGGGAGGGGGAGCTGGGATGGGGATGGGTGGGGCCGGGGGTGGGGGGGCTCAGTCGAGCCTTGGCAAGGGGGCTAGACGTTGGGCCTTAAACTTCTTCCTTCCTTTCTTCTTTCCTTCCTTCCTTCCTCCCTCCTTTTCTCCTTCCTTTCCTTCCTCCCCGCTTCCTCTTTCTTTCCTTCCTTCCTCCCTCCCTCCCTCCCTTCCTCCCTTCCTTCCCCAGGACCTGAAGCCAGCTAACCTGCTCATTAGCTCCTCGGGCCAACTGAAGATTGCAGACTTTGGCCTAGCCCGAGTCTTCTCCCATGAGGGTGACCGACTCTATAGCCACCAGGTGGCCACTAGGTACACTCCTGAGTCTGGCAGTGGGGGGGTGTAGGGTAGGCGGGGGGAACAGGCATCAGTTTCAAGCTTTGTGGTAGGAGGTGTTCCTTGGCATGTTTCTCCAACCTCATCAGAGCAGCTGCTTTTTCTCACCCTCTTGCTTGCTAATCATGTCTCCTTACTTTACTGCAGGTGGTATCGGGCTCCAGAGCTTCTCTATGGTGCCAGGCAGTACGATGAGGGTGTGGACCTGTGGTAAGGCCCTGGAAGATGGGACAAGAGTGAGAGGGCCTCGGCTGGCCGGCTCCCTGTTTGGGGTAACTGGCTCCACAAGAAGTGGGATGCCCACAACTGCCCAAACCGTATCCACTTGTGTTCACAGGGCTGTGGGCTGCATCCTCGGTGAGCTCCTGAATGGCTCCCCTCTCTTTCCTGGTGAGAATGACATTGAACAGCTCTGCTGTGTTCTCCGGGTCCTTGGGACACCCAGCCCCCAGGTGTGGCCGGTGCGTAGCAGGAGAGAGGGAGAGGAATTCTCCCACTTTGCTGTTGGCAGCTCCGTCATAATAATAATGCAATAATATTCCTCTGCCCCAGGAGATAACTGAACTCCCAGATTACAACAAGATCTCATTCAAGGAGCAGCTGCCCCTGCCCCTGGATGAGGTGCTGCCCGATGCTTCTCCCCAAGCCCTACGGCTCCTTAGCAGCTTTCTGATCTATCCCCCTCGCCATCGGATCCCGGCTGATCAGGTATCCTTCTTTCCCCTCGGGGGCACCCCTGGGCCCGACCTGCAATGCAATGTCAGACATTTATGACATGCCAGCTCCCCCCATCGTCATCCAGATATTTACTGTGCACACTGGGAGTCATGTGCGTACAAATGGTCATTAAACTCCTGCTGCGTGCAAGGCCCTAACCTATGGGAGCCTGTCAGAGAGCCCTGCAGGAGCCCCCATGGTCAGGGGGGCGGCAAGGGAGCGGTTAGGCCCGTGGGCAAGAGAAAAACCAGGAGCCCAAGCTGTAGAAACCAAGGGAGGGGAGACTGTCCAGGAAGGAGAGATGAAGTGGAGAGATCAAGGAGAAGACTGATTTGGCAGTCTGGGAGAGGATGGTTTCCACCACATTGTGAGGGACTGAGGGATAAACTTTGTAACCTTTGGAGTGTGGGGAGATCCCAAAGGAGCTCTAGATATCTGAGGAGATGGGCCAGGAAGGAGAAATTCCATGTGAGTGACCTGGGAACATCTGAAGCAGGGTGGGAGAGGAGATGCCCTAGTGGGCTTTGTGAAGTGTGGAGAAAAAGATGGGAGGGAGCTCCCCAAAGATAGCACCAACTAGGGAGTGAGAGAAGTGGAGGGGGATGGGAGTTGTGGGAAAGGCACAGTGCACACGAGAGAGCAGCCCCTGTTGGCATGGCTGGGGAAGGAAGAGTGGAGGTGGTGTTGGGGGGAGCCTTGTTTCAAGGTCAAGCAAAGAGCCCAAAGGGGTTTGAGGCCAGAGGCCAATGGGTGCTGAACTTGGGGCTTACAGAGAGGCCTGTGAGGGCGCACAGTGTGAACAGGGCAAGAGCTGAAGCTGAGAAATACTGCGAGGAGGCACCCAAGGCCAGGGCCAGGGGGAGGGGCTGCCCGCTGACTTGTCTTTTCCACTGGGATTGGCTGCAATGGGGCACCATTTGTCACTATTCTTGTGACTCATGGGGGAGTGTGGAGGTGTAGATAACGAGCAGAACTGTTAAGGAAGGCCCCCACCCCCACCCCGCCCCTCGGACACTTTGGTTGAGGCCCTGCAGCTCCAGCTAGGCCTCCTGCTCTGTCTGTGTCTGGGGAATAACAACTACCCCCACCCCCACCAAAGCCCTAGACACCCTCTTAGAAAGACGCATTGGCTGGTGGATGAATTGGGTGGCAACCTCAAGGCAAGGCAAAGGGGTGCCCCGGCCCCCTGGCCAAGGGAACTTGGGCTGAGACCCCAGGAGCACTGGCCAGCAAAGATGGAAAGAGGAGGTAAAAGGTGCTTTGAGATCAGAAGAGGAAGGGTAGACTTCTGGTTTTAGGGTGACAAAATAGCATTTTAGCAGAGAGGCACTGAATTGACAAATTATCCCCAGAAGAGAAATGAATTGATTTGATTTGATTTGATACAGTGGGAAGGGCTCTTGGCCCTGCAGCCCTGGGTTCCAATTCTGCCTCTTATTAGGACTACCTGGGTGCCCTTGGGCAGGTCTCCCATGGTCCTGGGCTTCAGTTTCCTCAGCAATAGCCCCCATAGAGGCCAGTGCTTTGCTCACCTCCAGATGCTCAAATAAGGTAACTCAGGCTAGACCCCCAAAGGTTGGGCCAGCTCCAGGCCCTTTAGTGGGCCTGCTTTAATGAACAGAGAAGGATAGTTCTTCATCTGTCCCTTCAGCATGAGTCTGACTGATGTCTAACTCAATCTTGTTTAATGCCCTTAGGGGGCCTGCTTTAATGAACAGATAAAAATTGCTTACTGTCCGAATGTTTGAATGTCTCCTTCACTCAAGCCAGCAGAGGGGAGAAGCCTGGTCTGTGGATACCTTTGAGGAACATACGCCCCTTGTTTCTTTTTAAGTGAGCCCAGTACTTGATAAAAATCTACCGACTCGCCACAGTGCTCAAAGGGGAACTGTTTCTCCTCCTTCTCACTGCCCCCCTTGCCCCCCCACCCCACCCCCCCACCCCCCGTTTTTGGCGTCGAGTGAATTCAGCCAAGCCTTCGTTTCAAGGAAAACGGTGCCCATTGGGGGGACTGAAAAGGGACAAAGCCAGGGATCTAGGGGTGAGGCAGGACTGGGCTGGGTTGGGCCACCCCTTCTTACTCCCCCCACATCCCCACAGGCCCTGCTACATGAGTACTTCTTCAGAACCCCGCTGCCAGCCCACCCCTCAGAGCTGCCCATTCCACAGCGTGGGGGGGGGGCCCGGCTCCAAGGCCCGACCAGGTCCTCCTCATGTCCACGACTTCAGGGTAGAGCAGCCCCTGGCTGAGTCGTTGCCAGATCCGGAGTTGATTCGGCCCTACCTCCCGGAGGGATGAGCCTCCCACTGCCCTGGCCTCCACCCAGCTCTGCCTGGCCCCAAGAGATTGCCTTATCTGGGCACTCCCAGCTGCTCCCCCTGGCCTTCCTGCGGCCAGGGTGGGAGGGGACTCAGGCGTCCGGCTTCCCTCCCTCTGGAGGTTCAGGAGAACAGACTTCTAACCTTGGCTGTGCCTCAGTTTCCCTAATAACAATAAACACTACCTTGGACTCCAAAGGCAGGGTCAATGGGAATATTCAGAGTGACTGGAAGTGGGAAGGAGGCCTCAGTTTTCCCAGCTGTGAGCTGGGCTTGATGATTCCCACCTGTCCTGCCCTCCCTCAGAGCAGAGGGACCAAGGTGTTACTTTTTTTTTTTGGGGGGGGAGAAGAAGATATGAATTTCCCTGTCACACAGGGGCAGAAAGCAGGGGGTGAGGGGTATAGACAGGGCCAGGGAGGCCCCAGTATCCGCTCTCTTCTTTCCCCCAACCTCCTGTGGGGCTGCTAGTTGCCTCAACCCCAACAACCGAGGTCCGGCCCTCCATCTGATAAGACTTATCAGCAGGCCCCAGCCTTGGCCCAGCAGGGAGCTGGTGTAAGTGGGGGTGGGGGGAGGAAGGGAGGGTGTCCCTCATCTTCCCTGACATCTTAGTTTGGGTATCTACCCCAGTGTATCCTAGGCCCTCTTCCCAGGACCTAATGGGAGACACCTCCCCCACAAAACAAAACAAAACCAAAAAAAAAAACTAAGGGAGAGTGGGGATGACAGAGAGAGAAATGGAGAGATAGTGGAAGGGTTACATATGAGATCCAGGACTAAGGAGAAATTGAGACCAGGCATCCCTGAGGGGCCAGAGAAGGGAAAGGAAAAGCCCCAGGTCCAGGGCTTGGAGGGACAGTGCTCTAAAGGAATGGAGACTGAGACCCTGAGGGAAAGGAAGCTAAAGGTGGGGCCGAGGTAAGGGACCAGGAGAGAAATGCATGGAGAACCAGGGTCTTGGTTGGCTGCTGCCATGGCTGTTGGCCAGTGGGGGAGGTCTGTGATGGGCGGGCGAGGAAGGTGTCCCCAGTCATCTAAGCCATGCTCGGGCACTGGTGCCAGCAGGGGGCGGTCCCAAGGCTGGGCCCCATCTCCCCCCCCCCCGGCCCCGCCCGTAGCCACAGCAGGAGGGGGGTGTGAGGGAGGGAGACAGCGTTGTCTTGGTCGCAGCCTGGACCCTGAGGAGATCCAAGAGAGACTGCCCCCCCCAGCCTCAACACCTGCTCAGGTCAGTGCCTCCAAGCCCTCTGAACCCCCATTTCAGGAGGGCTTGAGCCCTGTCTCTAATTATCCCAAACCCCTAACCCTGTACCTCTGAGTTACCCTCGTAAGCTTGAACCCCAAGCTGGGTCTCCCCCAACCTTCCTTCTGTTCTCTCCCTTAATTCTCTCTGCCCTTCCAACCTTATCTCTCATCCCTCTTCCAGCCCCATACCTCAGCCCCCCTCAAATTACATCTTTGAGGGGCCCCAATCTGTCAGCCCCCAAAGGCTCCTAATTCTGTCTCCAAGGATCCTGAGCCCCATCTCTGATCCTGTCCTGGCTGAGGGTCTTTGGCTCTGATTTCCTCTTCAAAACCAACCCCATATCTGATGCCCCCAATTCCTCTAAAATAAAAATAAAAGCCATTCTTTAAGGGTGGACCATACCTGGCTGGCCTTGGCCAGACCTGGCTGGGCTGGGCCAAGCTGGGCTAGGAACTGGCTGCCTGGCTTGGGCTTGGAACCGCCTGCCTGGAGTTCCCAGGCCTGCTGGGAACACACTAGCCCCAGGCGGCTAATAAGAGGTTTTCATATCCCCCAGCCCTGAGATAAGGGTTATCTCTGCATTGGGGTGATAACTGGGGGTAGGAGCTCCCACTCTGGGCCTGGAGGGGATGAGAAACAGGCAAAGAAGGGTGAGGGGAGGGCGAAAGACTAGAAGAGAAAAGAAAAATGGGGGGGGCACACAGACTGATTAGAGTAGGGAGGGCTGGGTAAGAAGGAGCCTGAGGGAATGATGAGCCCCGATCTAGTCTACCCCTTTCCTTATTCTCTACCTCCCTGGAGCCAAAATAACCCCCCAATCTTTAGCCTCCAGTTGCCCAAGCATACATATATATATATGTGTGTATATATAATATGTATGTGTGTGTGTGTGTGTGTGTGCACGTGCACGCCCCCCCCCACACACACACACATGCATGGCTCAGCACATTCTGTGTGTGAAACCCAAGGCTCTGAGCCCAGGAGTGCCCACTTAGTTGGGTTAGGGGGCCCAGACCATGGCCCCTCTGCTGGGCCATGGGCCTATCTAAGGACCAAGCTTAGGAAAATCTCTTGGGGCTGACAGTCCTGCCCCCCCCCCCTCAGGGAGGCACCACTGTCCCTGTTTCTGCTGCCACCACCTGGGAGGCCCCATGGATTTCCCACCTGGCCTGGGGGAGCCAGAGGCCCTGGTCCCTTTTGCTGAGCCTACCTTGCTGCCCTCATCGGCCTCTGTCAGTGCTACTGAAGAGCCGGGACTCTTCTTCCAAGGGCCTGAGGGGGCCGATACCACCAGTGCTGCTGCCACACTGTCCTACTACCATCGGGGAACAGCCGCTGATGCTTACAGACACTCACCAGGTATCCTGTGGGGGAGGCCTTTGGGGCACCATTTTGTCTATCCCTATGGTTGTGGAGTGGTACCAGTGATGCCAGCTAATGAATTACATTCTGGAATATTTATAAAAGCACTTAACACAGTGCCTGGCACATAGTAGGTGCTATAAAGATGTTTCTTCCCTTCCCTGTTACCGCTTGGCCTCAATCTTCCATACATGGTATTGACCACCCTTCCTCCCCCTCTCCCCAGGTTAGATTGGGGTTAAGCAAGCCTTCATTTAATGGACGGTGTTCTGAGCTAAGCTGGGAGGCAGGTCCAGTGGAGACAGAATGCTGCGTTTGGAGAGCAGTTAGCAGTTTAGGTGGCTCGGATGGTTGATAGCAGGAAGGGGAGCTCCCAGACAAGTCAGCTAGGGACACGGAGGGTTTTTAATGCCAGCCGTAGGAGTTTACTTACTAGCCTACAGAGCAAGGAGTGACATGGGCAGAGCAGAAAGTTTATTGGGCAGCTAAGAAGAAGGACTGGAGAGAGGAGAGGCTTGAGGCTGGGATACCCATTAGAAGGCTGGGGTGGTAATGGTCTGAAGTGAGGAGTGCTATTAGGGCCTAAATAGAGGTATTAACTGTCTGAGAGTAGAGGGGAAGAGATGGATTGATTCCCAGGGGACAAATCAGCAACTGCTTGGCTAGGAGGAGTGAGGGAGAGAAGTCAGTGTTGAGGATGAGACTGTAGCTGTGAAGAAATGACCATGCCTTCAAAGGGAATAAGGAAGCTTGGAAGGGAGAACATGAGCTCTGTTTTGGACGTGTTGATGCTTACGGCATGTGCGGGTGGACAAAGCTGGCCAGCCATGTAGTTGGCAGTATGGGACTACAGCTCAGGAGGATTCCGGCTGAGGTGGCTGGATCTGGGAGTCATCTGCCTAGAGGTGAACTGTACCCAGGGAGCAAATGAGATCACTTGGGGGAAAGCCAAGAGAGAAGTGGGTAGATCACCCAGGGGACGGGGAATGAGCCAGTGAAGGAGACAGAGAAGGAACAGTCAGACTGGGGGAGGAGAACCAGGACCGAGCCAAAGGAGGAGAGAACGTTGATGAGAAAGGGGTGGGAGACAATGTCCAAAAACTGCAGAGAGATCTGGAGTGCTTAGGGCTGAGAAAAGGCCATTGGCTTGTACGGGTAGGGGAGATTGCTGGGAACAGTGAGCAGCTATTTGCAAACTTGCGGATTTCCTTCTGCTCTTAAAAGTCATTGAGCTTTGATGTGGGTTATAGTTATGGCTACTTACCTTCTTAGAAATGAAAACATCTTCGCACCGTTAGGGAATTGGATTGTCCTGGATCCCCTGAGCTCAAAGAATTAGAGTGAGAGGTAGCTGCGGGTTGGTGGCCAGATGGTGGGGTGAGGAGCTGGTGGCATGAGACACAGGAGCCTGTTCATGGAGATTTTTAATTTTGTTTTGGATTTATTTTTTTTTCCAGTTAACAAGTCTTTATTTTCTTTCCCACTCAACCCCACCCCCACCCCCCCACCCCACGGGAAAAGAAAAATCCAAATCAAAGGCTTGGCACAATTCTGACATTGGCCACACCCGAAGATGTGTGGCCACATGTGTTGTGTAGCTTACCTACAAGGAGGAAAAGGCAGCTTCTCTTCTGAGACCGGAGCAAAGGGCCCATGCCCTTTGAGGGGGGGGGTGGTTTAGAGAGCTCGGTCAAGTCTCTGTTGGGGTGAGGGCTGAGTCTGGGACTGAGGGAAGATGCTGGAGCAGAGAGAATTGTGATTAGATCATATGAGGTTCAGGGCACTGGCCAAGGCCATAGTACCAGTCAGTCAGTCAGTCAGTGAACAAATGCTTCTCAAGGATTAGGCATTTAATGCTGGGAGTCAGAATTGAGGAAGTCATGTTAGGGGTCCGACTGAGAGGTCCTACACCAGCAGAGACAGAGTAAATGGGGAATGGACCCCTCCCTGGATGACTTGGCCTTTCCATAACCCTGACTAGAAGTAGGCCATACTGGGGGTCTGGGGCCTGACCATCCCTCCCCCCCCCCACTCCTTACAGTGTGCCAAGTATACCCAATTCTCAACTGGATGGATGGAGGGCTTGGGGGAGCCCCATATGCAGCTGCAAGTTGGGCCTATGGTAAGGCAGGGTTGTACCCAGCCTCAGCCCTGGCCCCTACTGTTCGAGAGGCTTCCCCACAGCCAGCTCCTGAGGGCCCTGATGTGAAAGGGAGTCCAAGGGGCTTCCTGGAGACCTTGAAGACAGAGCGGCTGAGCCCAGACCTGCTCACCCTGGGTGTCCCAGCAGCTGTGGGGCCCTCCCACTACATGGCATCAAGTCCTCCTGATTTCACTACTGCTACCTTCTTCTCACCTGCTGGAAGCCCCCTCTCAGTGGCAGGTGGAGGCGGCGCCTACTCTCCAAAGCTACGTGGGGCACTTCCCCTGTCTCCCTGTGGTGAGGACCTGGCTTCAGGATGGGGGGAGAAATCCTAAGGAGGAGGAAAAGAGTTGAGGGGCTGAGCTGAGGCTCAGCTCTCACTTTCTGTCCAATTTCTTGCCTTTCCTCCCACCCAGAGGCCAGAGAGTGTGTGAACTGTGGAGCAACTGCTACCCCGCTGTGGCGTCGAGATGGCACTGGGCACTACCTGTGCAATGCTTGTGGCCTGTACCACAAGATGAATGGGCAGAACCGGCCCCTCATCCGGCCCAAGAAGCGCCTGGTGAGGAGGGAGGGCCTAGGGGACAGGAAGGCAAGGAGGGGGCAGCAGTGACCTCACCCAGCTCCCTGGGCTCTTTACAGATCGTCAGTAAGCGGGCAGGTACCCAGTGCACCAACTGCCAGACGACGACAACAACACTGTGGCGGCGCAATGCCAGCGGGGAGCCCGTGTGTAATGCTTGTGGTCTCTACTACAAGCTACACAACGTAAGCCTCCCCTTCCCCTCCTTGTGGGACCTGGGCTAGCTTCTCTGGGCCTTCAAAATGAAGGATTGGGGCCTGGATGATCTCCAAGCCCCTTCTGCAACCTGCTGTGTTTGATGGCTGATGAGATGAGAGTGACAGTTGGGCTCGGGTCTGTGTGACTTTGGGGGTAGGGCTCTTAAGACTCCTGTCTCCAGAAGGGCTGGGCTGGGGAATCTCCAAGACCTCGACCCTCCGTCCTAGGTCGCTGAGCTGCGGACAGGGGGGGAAGGGAGAAGAGGGGAAACCCAGTCTCTGGGGGTGGCACTTTTCGGGGTACCAGACTCTGGGTTTGTCCCCCCACCCCAGGTGAACAGGCCGCTGACTATGCGAAAGGATGGCATCCAGACCCGGAACCGCAAGGTGTCAGGCAAGGCCAAGAAGAAGGCCCGGGTGGGCCAGGCCCTGATGGCCGCTGGGCAGGGGACAGCAGTGGCTGCAGTGGCGTCGGCAGGCTCAGGGGATCTGGCGGCAGAACCGCTCTACCCGAGCCTAGGGCCCGTGGTGCTCTCGAGCCACATGGCCTCAGTGGGTCACCTGGTCCCCTTTCCCGGGTCTGCGCCCCCCCTGCTTGGGGGCACTGGAGCCCCCTTTTCCGGGGCCGCGGGGGTGGTCTCGGCCCTAGGATCGTGAAAACAGCAGCGTGATCGCCTGAGCCTGAGCCGGGGCCTGGGCTTGGGCCGCGACCCACCTCAGGCTGCTCCAGTAGCCCCGTCCAGACCCCGTCCCTACGGCCTTAGCCCTCCCTGATCGGCCCCGCTTGCTCCCCCTCCCGTGGCTTCAGGACAATAAACCCGCGGATGCTCCACCACAACCAGGAAGCTGGCTTTTTATGCGTCCCTGCGTGCGTCCATGCGTCCGTCGGGGGGGGGGCGCGGCGGGGCAGGGCCGGGGCATCACGTGGTGCTATCCCGGCGTAGGCCCGGGCGAATGGCACGTGACCCTGCCGTCGCTGGGGTGCCGCACGGGCTCCCTCCACTGTCGCTGAGGCCAGTGACTGATCGGGCGCGCGGGCTGGGGTCCTTCAGCCTGTACCCCAAACTCCGGTCCCAGCTCAGGGAGGCGGGGCCCCGAAGAGCAAAGAAGGGCTGAGGAGGCGGAGCCAGCGGACTCCTGGGGCCCAGTGAGGGGGGGCGGGGCCGGGTCTGAGGCCGAGAGCGGGAGTCAGGGGGGGTGGAGGGGAGGGGAGGGCCGGAGGGGGAGGGGCCAGGTCTGCGGCCGAGAGCGGAGAGGGGGAAGGGGAAGGGGAGGGCCGAGTTTGAGGTGGGAGGGGCCGAGTGGGGGGGGCGGGAGGAAGAGCCGGGTCTGAGGCTGAGGGGGGCGGGGGGTTGTGACTGGATGCTATTTGGACGGTTGGGGGGCTGTGGTGGGCCATCATCCTGAGAAATCTAGCTGTCTCCTCCATTCCGGTGAGGCCACCAGGTGGGTCAGGTGAGCAGTCCTAGCCGCTCATGGCATCCCAGCAGGAGAAGCCAGGCCCGAGTCATCGAGGAGGGAGCCCCAGCAGATCTCCCTCGGCCGGAACCCGGATGATGGTCAGTTCAGTTGCCGTGAGAATCCCTTCTGTAGGATGAGGGAGGGGGCATCAGGGAACTCCTTCGTGAGGCTGGAGGGAGGCCAGGGAAAGCTCCCAACATGAGGAGGAGCAGAGGAGAGCCCATGAGGGTCTTGGAAACCCTGCCTGAGGGTGGAGGAGATGGAACAGCTGTCTCCCCAAAGAGGCCAAGAGCTCAAGGAACCGTTGTCTGCTTACTTTCTGTGGTGTCTCTAGGGGCAAAAGCGAGGAGGCCGGAAGGGATCACCAGTCCCGAGAGCCAGCCCAAGTTTAGCTGAGGCCCGTCGCAGAGGGCGAGCAAAGAAATTGAGTCAAGTGTCTGAGCAAGACCTGGTGACCAACCTGCAAGACCTGGTGAGTTTCTGTCCCTTCCCTTCACTTGGGCCTCAGTTTACTCCTCTTTCTCGTTCCCAGTTGGGGAAAGAGGATCTCCTTAGGGGCTGACCTCCTCTACTGTTTGTTCTCTTCCTTTCCGGTTCCCTTCTAGGACCTTGAGGCAGAGTCAGCAGTACCCTCAGGGACTGGCCTGGTGCTGGATGAGAGAATGGGTGGATTCCACTGCTCCTGGGATGAAAGGTGAGCCAGGCAAGGGGAAGGAGAAAAGGGTGCTCAGCCAGAAGACAAAAGCACATTCGACTTTTTCACTTTACGGTTTCCTTAGTTTCCCTGAAAGACCGGAACGCCTTCAGGCTGTGCAGGAACAACTGGCCAGGGACGGTCTGCTTGAGCGGTGTGTCCACATTGAGGTGAGGGCAGTGTCACCTCTTACACTGTCATTGAGGAAAGTGGACAGGCTCACGGCTTACATCTCCATCCTGTCCAGGGGTTTCTTCCCTTCCAAATCATCAGCAAACATTAAGAAGTGCTTAGACTCTGGTCCAGACACGATTGCCTCCAGCCTGAGTCCCCCAAGGCCAGAGCGGGCTGTCCATAAAGGACGCCTTCCCTGTGTTTGCTCCCATAGGCCCGTCCAGCTACTCCCCAGGAGCTGCAGCTTGTCCATAGGTGAGCACAAAGGGCTGGATACTGAGCCCCAGTTCTTCCTCCCCTTGGGGGTTCTTCCTTCTTGGGTAGCATCAAGCCTCCCAAGAGTGTAGAATCCTATATCCAGCTTTCTGTGGAATAACAGCCAAGAATACATAGAGCTGATGGCATCCACACCACAGATGACTGAATCGGAGCTTCGGACCCTCTCAGACACCTACGATTCTGTCTACCTGCACCCGGTGAGCCACCAGCTTTCCAGCAGGCTGCCTCTGGGACATTAACAGGGATAGAAGACTGCAGATACCAGAAACTGACTGGCAGCCTGCAAGCTTCCCCTCTCTCTCTCCTCCCACTCTCTCTTTGTCTCTTTCTCCCCCTCTGTGTTTTGGTTTATTCTTCCCTCTCTTTCATCGTCTTTCTGTCTGTTTCTTTCCTTCATGTTTTTCTTTCTCTTTCCCTGCCTTCTTTCTTCTTTGTCTTTTCCTTCTTTTCTCTGTCTTCCTGTTTGTCTCCCTCGCTCTCCCATCACCCCCCGGTCTCCACCCACCTCTCCTTGTCTCTACTCTCTGATCTTTTGCTGTGTTCACACTGGTCTCTTGTTTCCCCTTCTTCACCCCCTCCCCCCTCCCCAATCCTGGAACAGAACTCATTTCCTTGTGCCCTCTTGGCTACTGGGGCGCTGCTTCGGCTGGTGGATGCCTTGATGGTAGGCGAGATCCGGAACGGACTAGCTCTTGTCAGGTAGGTGCTGGGAGGGAAGGTGAATCTCCCTTCATCCTTCCATTCCTCATATGAGGAGATCTGTCTCTGTGTCCTCTCAGGACCTCATGCTCCACTTCTGGAAAACAGAAGTTGGTCCAGATAATTTCTAAGGCTCATCCCTTCTCTGGTATCACTGACTCTCCCTGTACTATTACATTTTTACTGTGATGTTGATATAAGATATAGGGCTTCATCATTGCCTTTTTTTTTTTAAGCAATTTGTTCTGAGCTCTGCCTTAAATCAGTGCCTAGATCCCCTCTGAACTTGTGCTTCGTCCTCTGGTCCTAGGCCCCCTGGCCATCATGCCCAGCGTGAGAACATGAATGGCTACTGTATGTTCAACAATGTTGCCATTGCTGCCCGCTATGCCCAGGAAAAGCACCATGTGTCACGGTGAGGCTGGGGGCGATCTGGGCTTTCTAGGGAATCCATTCAGCAAGACTTTGCCCAGTGATGGTCCCCTGCTTCTCTGGGCAAGCAGTGAATTCTCAGGGGACCCTTAACCTTTTCCAGGATACTCATTGTGGATTGGGATGTCCACCATGGTCAAGGCATACAGTTCATCTTCGAGCAGGACCCAAGGTATATTCAGAGTGGGTCCTCCCCTTAGTATAGTTAGGGGGCTTGGAATTCCTTCCCCTGCTGCCCCCGTGCCCCAAGCCATCTCCTCTAAAGTCCTCCTTTTCCTTCTCCAGCGTCCTCTACTTCTCCGTTCACCGCTATGAGCAGGGTCGATTCTGGCCCCACCTAAAAGCTTCTGACTGGCGGGCAACAGGGAGTGGCAAGGGTCAGGGATACACTGTCAATGTGCCTTGGAACCAGGTCAGGCCCCTAGCACTTGAATGCCCTGGTCTAAGAGACCTTCTTATATGCGTACACTCATTGGGCCATTTCTCTGTCTTGCTGTGTCTCCCTCCCTAGGTGGGGATGAGGGATGGGGATTACATCAGCTCCTTCTTACATGTGCTGCTGCCCATCGCTCTGGAGGTAATGGAACTCAGGCGGGGGGGGGCAGGGCAGAGGGGGACCCTTAAACACAAGAGTGTTAAGAGACCTAGTGGTGAGGGCTGGAAGGCAGAAGCTGAGAGACTGAGCCAGAGTGGTGAGGTCTGGGAAGGAGATGGAGTCTGGCCTGAGGGGACTGACTAGATGAGAGCTTGGGGGGGACATGGAAGACTTCTGTTTGGGGGGGGTAAGGAAAGGTCGGAGTGGAGATAATAGCAGTAGCAGCCGCTGCCAGGAATTTGGAATGCTCAGGATCTTGGCTGGTAGGAACAGGGTGGGAGGGCTTGGGAGGACGGTTCAGAATGGAATGCAGGCTGCTGGGATCTTGGAATCCAAAGTGAAGTCTGGTAGGGAGAAGCTAAGTGGGCAGGGCAGAACGCCAGGCTAATGTGCTCTTTCTCTCCTTCGTCTCTAGTTTCAGCCTCAGATGGTTCTGGTGGCCGCTGGCTTTGATGCCATGCTGGGGGACCCCAAGGTAGGCCTCTTGGCAGGAGGGCCAGATTGGATTCAGGAGGAGGGCAGGATCATGGGCTTTGGGTCCCTCTCATTCACCCCTGGCAGAATGGGGGTGAGATCTAGGAGGCAGCATTCAGCTCCTCCCTCTTTCTTTCCCCAGGGAGAAATGGCGGCCACTCCGGGGGGTTTTGCCCACCTCACTCACTTGCTCATGAGTCTGGCTAGGGGGAAGCTGATTCTGTGTCTGGAGGTGAGGAATCATCTCAGTGTCTTTCAGTCTCTGTGTCTGCCGCTTTTTTCTCTCCATCTCTTCTTTGTGTTTACACACGTAGCCGCCTTCACACCTTGCTCATTGGATCTGGGAAGAGGCCGGGGTCAAATCCGGGCAGAAGCGTCCTAGGGAGGGGCCTGGGAGCCTGGCTTCCGCTCTGCCTTTTCCATCTTATCCCACTGCTCCTCCCTTTATTTTCAATGTATTCCCACTTGCATGCTAGGTTCCCACGAGACACCTAGCTGCTTTACCTCTGAGAGTGACCGATTCCCTCCATAATTCTTGGCCTTTCCTTCTCTGAGTTGTGTCTCCCTTCCTGCAGGGCGGCTACAATTTGTGTTCTCTTGCTTTGGGGGTCAGTGCCACTCTTCAGACCCTCCTGGGAGACCCATGTCCCATGTTGGCCACACCTTGTGTCCCCTGCCCCAGGTGAGAGGCCCTCAAGAAACCCCAGGGCCGGGGCCGGGGGGAGAAGAAGGAGGAAGGTGGATGACTGTTGCTTAGGATCTGAGTGACCTTGGACAAATCACTCCACCTCTCTGTGGATTGTCATCGGTGACCTGTAGGGTTTCTTCTGTCTCAGACATTCTCTGGTTTTGAGTCCCTTGTCCTGCCTTCAGATCATGAGAGCCTTAGACTAAGTGACATCAGATCTCTTTCAGCTCTATTTTCTGATTTCCTCTGATCACTCCTATTTTTTTTTTCCAACTGGCAGTGCTCTGGCTTCCTTGTCCTGTACCCTGGCTGCTCACAGACCTTTCTGGAAGGTTATACAGAGGTTTCGTAAGTGAGACAACTGAGAGGGTCAAGGGGACTTGGGAGGGCTGGGGGTCTGAAAGAAGTGGGCCCCACTCCCCTTGCCCATGCCCACCCAAAGGTGTCTATGATCTCAGTCCTCAGAGGTGGAGGCCCCAGGGCTGCCCTGAATGAGGAATGAGGGTGATGGGCTGGGAGGGAAGAGGATCAAGGGATTCCACTGGTGGCTAAGGCTGGGGACAGGTGGGCCTCTGAGGGCCAGCCAGACTATATACCTAGTATACTGGAGATCTCAGGACTAGGTTCAAATGGTGGCTTGACCTTGAACAAGTCCTTTTCCTCTCTCAGGGCCTGCTAAAAGGAGCAGGTGGGACTGACCACATGATCTTGAGCTTTAAATCTGTGATCTTTTGATCCCCACCTCCCACCCCCTCTAACAGAGTCTGCCCCTGAGGACAAGGAGAAAGATCACAGGGAGGTGAGCCTAGGCCCCCCGCCCAATCTTGAGGCCCTGGGGAAACCCTTGGAACAGGCCCTGCCCCTGCCTCTGAACCGAACAGGCTTGGTATATGATGAGAGGATGATGGAGCATTTCAATATGTGGGACAGGTACTGGGCTTGGGTTGGTGGCTGAGGGGACCATTTGCTGGGGGTCACATGACCTCCCTTCCCTTTGATGAGCCTACCTGGCCCTTCCCCAGCCACCACCCAGAGCGGCCAGAACGCATCGCCCAGATCGCACAGCACCACACGGAGCTTGGGCTGAGCCCTCGATGCCTCCCTTTGCCTGCCCGTTCCGCTACGGATGATGAGCTGTTGAGCTGCCACAGGTAGAGGCTGCCCCTCGTCCGCTCTCTCCTCTTCTCCCTCCTTCCTTCCTTCCTTCCTTCCTTCCTTCCTTTCTTTCTTTCTTTCTTTCTTTCTTTCTTTCTTTCTTTCTTTCTTTCTTTCTTTCTTTCTTTCTTTCTTCTCTTTGTTCTTTCTTCTTCTCACAAAGTGCCTCTTCCCACCTTTTTCTCTCTTCCTCCTATCCAGCGAGGAGTATATTGACCGTGTTCGGGCCACAAGTGGGCTGAAGCCTCGGGACCTGCACAGGGAGGGTGAAAGTTATAACTCCATCTACATCTCCCCCCATTCCTTCAGCTGTGCCCGGCTTGCTGCCGGAGCTGCTTGCAGTTTGGTGGAGGCCATCTTGGCCAGGGAGGCACGTAGTAAAAGGGAAGGGGCTCCACCACGGTGGAGGATGTGGGGTGGGATGGAATTCTTATGGCATGGTGTGGCATAACATGGCTTGGTTCCAACGTGGGGTGTGGAGAGGAGGCAGATAACAGAGGGCAAGAAATGAGGCTATCCTTTGCCTTTTGGCCTCAGCACAGGTGCAGAATGGGCTTGCCATTGTCCGCCCACCAGGCCACCACGCTGAAAGAGATGCTGCCTGTGGTTTCTGCTTCTTCAATTCTGTGGCCGTGGCTGCTCGCCATGCTCAGGAGGTGGCAGGCCGGGCCCTCCGGTGAGTACAGCTGAGGCAGGAAGCCAGAAAGGGTGAAAGGAGTACTGCTCACCTTCACCCTCAACGGCAGGGCTTTCTAACTTGGCCTCTGTGACCTTGGCTTTCTTGGGTTTCTATCTGGAGAGATGGGGTTCGTTAGAATCAGTGTCCTTGGTAATCCTCTGGCATCACCAGCCTGACTGCCCATGAGGCCAGGCCACACAAAAGCTGCTGAGTGCTCGGTCTAAGGGGAGCTGAAGGGAAAGAGCTGGGGGAGGCTTCTTTTCTCTTCTTGCAGAATCCTGATTGTGGATTGGGACATTCATCATGGCAATGGAACACAGCACATATTTGAGGAAGACCCAAGGTAAGGCCTGAGGCAGGACGGGAAGCCCACGGGGAGGTGCTAGGACAGGGGTCGGCTCTGCCTCTGCCTTTGTCTTCTAACAGGCTTTTCCCTGGCTAGTGTGCTGTACGTATCCTTGCACCGCTATGATCACGGCGCCTTCTTCCCCGTGGCTGAGGATGGTGCTAGCAGCTGTGTGGGCCAGGGCCAGGGAGAGGGTTTCAACGTCAATGTGGCATGGAACGGGCCCCGCATTGGCGATCCTGACTACCTCACCGCCATGCACCATATTGTGATGCCCATTGCCTACGAGGTGAGATTGGCAGCTAAAGAAGATGGTTGAGGGTGGTGTGGCCTCTCCTGGCACTTGCATCTACCTGAGAGGCTGGGCAAACATTTCTAGTGCTTCGATTATGTTATAGTTCAACCCTGAGTTGGTGCTGGTGTCTGCTGGCTTTGATGCTGCTCGGGGGGACCCACTAGGAGGTTGCCTAGTCTCCCCAGAGGGCTACGCACACATGACTCATCTGCTGATGGGGTTGGCTGGTGGCCACATTGCCCTGGTCCTCGAGGTACGATTCCTTCAGGACCCTCCCGAATTTCCCTTGCCTGTGGTCTTCCCTCGATCTTCCTTGCCCATGACTCTGGGCCCTCCATGCCCGCCTACCTCTCTTCCCCTAACTAGGGTGGCTACAACCTAACATCCATCTCAGAATCTATGGCTGCTTGTACCCGGACCCTTCTAGGTGACCCACCCCCATCGCTCCCCTGGCTTCGGCCTCCGCTGCCTGGGGCCTTCCTCTCCCTGGCTGAGGTTGCCCAGACCCACCGGAAGTACTGGCAGAGCCTTCGGCTTACTGGTGAGCAGAGCTTCGGTCAGGGCCATGGAGGACCCAACAGGACAGGGGGGATGATTGGTGTCTCCCCGTTCCATTCACTGTCCAGCAGTAAAGACCAGGAGGAAACAAAGGAGACCTCACTGGAGCTGGTTGAGATGGAGAGCACCCTGGGGCACGAGCTTCCTGAAGAGAGCCCTGCAGAGGCACTGGCCACAGGACTAAAGCTAGAGAGACGGCCTCCATCACCCCTGCTCGAGGAGACCCTAGGCCTGGAGTCCCTTCGGCTCAGTGCATGCGCTCCAGGGGAACCAGAGGCTGAATCTGTCGTGGCCAACGAAGAGGACCCTGGGGAGGCAGCTGGGGAAGGGGGCCCAGCCACTCCCACCCTGCTGATGATAGGGGACCAATTTGATGCTGAGGGGGTGAGTCTCTGTGTCACCCCCCAGGCCCCCAACTGATGAAGATGTGGTGAGAATACCCTTCGTGGCCTTGGACTCATTACTGTCTCCAACAACCTTTTAGACCACATTCTATGCTGTGACCCCGCTGTCGTGGTGCCCACACCTGGTGACTGTGCGCTCAGTGCCAGAGGGGGGCCTGGATGTGACCCAGCCATGCTGGGACTGCAGCACCTGTCTGGAGAATTGGCTCTGCCTGTCTTGCTATCAGGTGGGCCAGGGAAGGTGGTATAGAGTGCAGTGTGGAGGTGTGGGGTCGGCAGAGAACAGGGGCACGTGTGTAAAAGAGTGTACCTGACCTTGGAGTCATTCCAACTCCTGGGTACTAGAAGGGATTACCCTCATTCTTATGGTTGCCAGGGGGCACCACAGTGCACAGAGGGCTGGGCCTGGAGTTAGGAAGTCCCCAATTCAAATCCTGCCTCACACACTAGCTCTGTGACACTAGGCAAGTCACTTTACATCTGCCTCAATTTCTTCACCTGTGAAATGGGGATCATAATAGCATCTACCTCCCAGGGCAGTCATGAGGACAAAATAAAATATTTGTAAAGGGCTTAGTATACAGTGCCCGTTGATAAATGATGAGTCCTTCCTTCCCCGGCTTCCTTTAGGTTCATTGTGGCCGCTACATTCAGGCTCACATGCTTCAGCACCATGAGGCCTCAGGCCACCCACTGGTCCTAAGCTATGCCGATCTCTCAGCCTGGTGTTACACTTGCCAGGCCTATGTGAACCATGAGGTGAGTCCCCTGGAAGTGGCTGCTGGGTCCCATGGGCTGGGCATCAAGAGACGGGCTCCCTCCAACTCTTTCACCTTTGTCTAGGTTCTGTCAGAGGCCAAGAAGGCTGCATACCGGTCCAAATTTGGGGAGGAGATGCCAGCACTGCCATGACAGCTGAGTGCCCTGTGGCCCCTCCTCGATGTTGCCATTCTTTTGGATTATTGATTAATGAGAACAATCATTCCTATGTCTCTCTAGCAAAGACACTGGTTTCCCTAAATAAAAGAAAACGAAAGACACTTGCTTTGCCACCCATCCACCCACCCATTTTGCAGTTGATGAGGGAGGGGAGGGTCAAAAGTGCCACCATAAGGTAGCAATAAACATCGTTAATGCAAGGCAAGCTGGCGTCAGTGCCCGGGTGAGCTGGTGTGGAAGAGACTTGTTTCCAGGAGTTCGACTGGAGTGAGTTGAGCGATGAAACCCAAAAGGGGCTGGGAAAATGCCTCAGAGGCTGGCAGGGGGTGTGGGGACCAGAGATGAGACAGGCTCGGCTTTGCTTGCAGGGGCACGAAGGAGGCTATTTTATTAAGCTTGGGTGCCAAGGTGGGGATAAACATGCACGCTGGAGGAGAGAGCCAGGCAGCAAGGAACCTTGGGTGGCTGGAGACCCCGTCACTCTGGCCAGTAGCGTGTGCTAGCAAGCGGTACCCCCTGCTGCACTGCCAAGGCCTCCAGATGGTTCAGGCCGAGTAGTGCGGTCCCATGTGACATGGAAGCAGGAGCCAGGCCCAGGGGCCGGCGCAAATGACGACGTTGCCGGGGCCACGGTCCCGCCCAGACCAAGGTGGGAGGGATTCGGGTCTCCGACATCTTGGCCAACAGCCGGCTCATCAGAAATCTGTGGATGGAAATAGCCAGAAGTCTCCAGTGCCACCCATTCTGCCTCTCCCCACACCCATCCACTTTCCCTCCAGTGGTACCTGAGTAGTGCCTGCTTGGAATCTGCTGCCTCATCGTTGGCTTGGGTCTGGGGACCAAGTGACACTGCCTCTTCCATGCTGACCTCAGGCTCAAGATGGGAGCCCCGCCACAGGCGCAAGAGGAGCTGGGCCAGGGCAGCAGCTTCAGCCTTGGTCTCCCGTTCCCACTCCTGCCACCCGGCCTCTGCCTCGAGGAGCCGCTCTAGGGCCTGGGCCAGCAGGGCTGCCTTGGGGGAACCAGGTGGCCAGTCCAACTGCAGGGCCCTTGCCATTTGCCCAAGGTTCCAAGAGAAAGGCAGGGTCCGGGGCTGTGGGACCCAGAAAGAGTAGATGTTATATGTGACTCAAGAACAGACAATGTTCTTAAAAGACTTAAACTTAAAAGACCCAACTCCTCCAACCATTCCCTGAATATCTACCATGTGCCTGACAATTGGCCATTGCCCCTTTGCTGGAAGGCCACCAGGAGAAAAAGTAAGCACACCCCCACCCCCACCCCAAGGCGGCCCATTCCACTCTGGGGTAGCTTTCATAGGAAGTTTTTCCTGATAGCAAGCCTAGATGTACCTCCCATCCATGACCCCTGCTCCTGCCTTTGGGCCAAGTCGAACAAATCCAATCCCTCTTCTCCATGACTGCCCTTCAGTTAAATAAAGACAGCCAAGCATGTATACCCTCTTCAGTTTTCCCTTTTCCAAGCTACACATTCTTCTAACTGATCCACAGTGCTTTGGTTTGCCATCAGGACCCCCAAATATCCTGTCAACAGCCTGCTGAATTCGGTCTACCTAGTGAATGCCCTTCTTAAAATGTAGCACCTCTCCATCCTTAGGAAATCTAAAAATGAGTGAGTTTTCATGTCATTGGAAACATGGAAGTGTCTAACTACCAATCGTTTGTGGGTAAGGGAGACGTCTTGAAAGGGCTTTGGAATGTCTTATTTGGCCGCGACTCCCGACTCCGTGTTCCCTCCCTAGTGCCCCGCCAAGACCAGCACCACAATGGCTGACTTGAGGCTTCGACAAAGGACAGGGAAAGCAATAGCTCTAGAGCTCTTTGCCAGGTCTCTGGTAATGGGAAATTTCTGTATGTGTGTGCATATGGGAGTTATCCTCTTTTAATCCAGAAAAGACCTCCAAGACCATAGAGTCCAACTCAAATTACTCTCATTTTACAGGGGAAGAATCAGGTCCACAGAGGGGAAGGGACTCGTCCAAGGTCACAAACACAGAACTGAGTTGGAATCCAAATCCTCAGTCCAAAGCCTGGCAGATCTCTTTCCTATGCTTTGCCACCTGTTTCAGCACATTACAATCTTGAATCACTTCTGTGAGGACTAGCAGAAGCTCCCCCTGCAGAAATCCCCCTGCTCAGTGTCTCCAAATGACTCAGTAAGAGCCACTTGGCTGTGTGGGCCAGAGCTCTTCAGAGCCTTCCTCAAAGTCTACCAAAAGGCCACTCGGTAGGGTGGAGAGCCTGTGCTTTGGCACAAAGTGCCTTTTTCATATCTGAGACAAGACAAAAATGATACTCGTGATGGAGAAATGAATGTGACATAAAGCTGGATAGCACAAAAATATTAATAAAACCAAACCAAGCTGCTTAGTCCTTGAAATCTCCAAGGCTATCCCAGGACACAGGCCCTTGGGAGCTACAAGCCTGCTCTCGAAACTGACTGCCTCCTTTTCCCCTCCTCTCCCCATACCCAGTCCGCGCCAGCTTGGAGGAGCTTGAAAGAGACTGAGCAGGAAGGGGAGAGTGTGGGGGCTGCCGTGACACATGCTCTTTGCTGCCCCCACCCCGCAACTGCTGACACTAGATGCACTGCCCCCAGACATACATAGAGACATATGACCCCACACGAACTCCACAAAGCCACAGCCGCGATTAAGCTCGTCATGAAGACACAATGACACAGAATGACACAGAAACATCACACAACCACAGGCCAAATGTCTAAAGAATCATCACCCAAAGACTTAACACGATCACACGCACAATCAGTGTCACACAAAGACCCAAATACAGCCAGACTTGCAGCCCAGCCTTTTTCCTTTCCTCCAGGACCCTGGACAGCTCCAAACTCTGCTAAGGCTCCTCCCTCTGCCTGATCCCAGTAACCTCAGTGATGGCAGCTGCAGGAACCCTTAAGCTTCAGACCTTCTCCTCCCCCGACCATTCCCAGGGCAATCCATTCCCGGCATAATCCTTGGGCAGAGCCAGTCTGAAGAGGACTCGAGGAAATCTGGGTGGGAGGAATACCTGAGCGAGGGCGGCGCCATGGGTCGCTGTTGGGAGGAGCAGGACACCAGCCCAAACCAAGGTGACCAGCAGTGGCTGCAAAGCTGCTGCCATCCTCCTCCTCCTCCTCCTCCTCCTCCTCCTCCTCCTCCTCCTCCAGCCTGTGGCTTGCTCCTCCCTCCCTCCTTCCTCTCCTGTCAGCGCACGCGCAGTCCTGCAACAGCTTCTAATGCACATTCCTCTTGCCCTTCCTTGTCTTAGGATCCTAGGAGATCAGAGCTGGAAGAGACTTTAGCAATCCATCCAGTCCAACCCTCTGGAGGAAACTGACCCCACTCACAATTACAGTTAAAGAGGAGTCTTTGACCTGAGCTCTGGCTTTCAGTGTGACTCACTGAGTCCTCCCCCACCCCCAACGCTAACCCTAATTGTGCTTCCAATTCTTCCTTCAGGCCATGACTCTGAACCTCTCCACCCCAATCCCATCCCCCAGCCTCCTCAGTCTGATCCCAGAAATACGGAGGTAAAAATGGAGAACTTCAAAACCAACCAAGATATATTACATCACAAAGAACTGTGGCAGGGAGGCAGAGCCCTATTTCTTGGCCATGAGAAATCAAAGGAAAGAACAGAATATGATCTTACTTCCCATAAGATCAAGGGAGAAACAAGGATGTCCATTATCACCACTGTTGTTCAATATTGTACTCGAAACGTTAGCTTTAGCAATAAGAGAAGAAAAAAATGGAAGGAATTAGACTAGGCCAGGAAGAGGCAAAGCTATCACTCTCTGCAGATGATATGTGGAGTTATACTTAGAGAATCCTAGAGAATCAAGTAAAAAACTGCTTGAAATAATGAACAACTTTAGCAAAGTTGCAGGATATAAAATAAACCCACATAAATCATTGGCATTTCTATATATTACTAACAAAGCCCAACAGCAATAGATAGAAAGAGGAATGCCATTTAAAATAATTGTAGACAATAGAAAATATTGGGGAGTCTACCTGCCAAGGAAGGTAGTCTACCTACCAACCCAGGAATTTTGAATATGAATACAATTACAAAACACTTTTCACACAAATAATGTCGGATCTAAATAGTTGGATTGGATTTGGGGGGGGGAGCTAGGAAATGGGGTTAAGTGACTTGCCCAAGGTCAGCTAGTGTTATGTGTCTGAGGTCAGATTTGAACTCAGGTCCTCCTGACTCCAGGGCCAGTGCTCTGTCCACTGCACCACCTAGCTGCCCCAATAATTGGGAAAATATCAGTTACTCATGGGTAGGCCAAGTTAATATAATAAAAATGATAATTCTACCTAAATTAATTTACTTATTCAGTACCATGCCAATCAAAATACCAAAAAACAATTTTATAGACTTAGAAAAAATAATAACGAAATTCATCTGGAAGAACAAAAGGTCCAGAATATCAAGGAAACTAATGAAAAGAAATGCAGGGGAAGGTGGCATAGCCATACCAGATCTTAAATTGTATTATAAAGCAGCAATCATCAAAACTGCTTGGTACTGGCTAAGAAATAGGGAGGTGGATCAGTGGAACAGGTTAGGTGTGCAAGACAGTAGTCAATGACTATAGTAATCTGTTTGATAAACCCAAAGATCCCAGCTTCTGGGATAAGAACCCACTATTTGACAAAAACTGCTGGGAAAAGAATATGGCAGAAATTAGGCACAGATCAAAATCTCACACCAAATACCAAAATAAAGTCAAAATGATACATCATTTAGATATAAAGGCTGATACTGTAAGCAAACTAGGAGAGCAAGGAAGAGTTTACCTGTCAGATCTATGGAGAACAGAAGACTTTATGACCAAACAATAGACAGAGAACATGGATAATTTTGAGTACATTAAACTGAAAATGTTTTGCATACACAAAGCCAATGCAACCAAGATTAGAAGGGAAGCAGAAAGCTGGGAAACAATTTTCACAGCAGGCCTCATTTCTAAAATACATGGAGAACTGAGTCAAATTTATAAGAATACAAGTCATTCCCCAGTTGACAAATGGTCAAAGGATATGAACAGGCAGTTTTCAGATGAAGAAATTAAAGCTATCTCTAGTCATATGAAAAAATGCTCTAAATCCCCCCCTTTTTTTTTGGAGGCAATTAGAGTTAAGTGACTTGCCCAGGGTCACACAGCTAGTAAGCATGATGGGTCTGAGGCTGGATTTGAACTCAAGTCCTTCTGACTCCAAGGCTGGAGCTCTATCCATTGCACCACCTAGCTGCCCCTCTAAACCACTACTGATTAGAAAAATGCAAATCAAAACAACTCTGAGGTACCACATCACACCTATCAGATTGGTTAACGTGACAAAACAGGATGATGATAAATATTGAAGAAGATGTGGGAAAATTGGAACACTAATGCATTGTTAGTGGAGTTGTGAAATGCTCCAACCATTTTGGAGAGCAATTTGGAACTATGCCCAAAGGGTTCTAAAATTGTGCATACCCTTTGATCCAGCAATACCACTACTAGGTCTGTATCCCAAAGAGATCATTAAAAAAAGGGAAAAGGACCCACATGTACAAAAATATTGATAGCAGCTCTTTATGTGGTGGCCAAGAATTGGAAATTAAGAGGATGCCCATCCATTGGAGAATGGCTGAACAAGTCATGGTACATGAATGTAATGTAATATTATTGTACTATAAGAAATGATGAGCAAGTGGACTTCAGAAAAACCTGGAAAAACTTACATGAACTGATGCTGAGTGAAGTGAGCAGAACCAGGAGAATGTTGTACACAGTAACAGCCATGTTGTGTGATGACTAACTTTGATAGACTTGACCCTTCTCAGCAATGCAAGGACCTAAGACATCTCCAAAAGACTCATGATGGAAAAAGCTCTCCACCTCCAGAGAAAGAACCAGGAGTCTGAATGCAGATGGAACCAGACTATTTGCTCTCCTTTTCTTTCAATGTTTTGTTTTGTTTCTTCTTTCTCTTGGTTCCTCCCATTAGTTCTAATTCTTCTATACATCATGACTAATGTGAAAATATGCTTAATATGAATGTGTAAGTACAGCCTATATCAGATTGCACGCCATCTTGGGGAGGAGGGAGGGGGAGAAAATTTGAATTCAAAATCTTATGGAAATGAATGTCGAAAGCCAAAAATAAATAAATAAATGCACTGCTCTTCTTAGCAATACAATGATTTAAGACAATTTCAAAAGACTCATGGTGGAAAATGCCATCCGAATCCAGAGAAAGAACAATGGAGTGTCAATGCAAATCAAGGCATACTATTTTCTCTCTTTTTTAATTAATTAAATTTATTTATTTATTCAAATATCATGGAACCATAGTCAGGATTACACAGGACGTTGCAGCATCAACATTAAAAGATTGGAGGGCTTGGAATATGATATTCCATAAGGCAAAAGAGCTTGGATTACAACCAAGGACCAACTACCCAGCAAAACTGAGCACAATCTTTCAGAGGAGGAGATGGACATTCAATGAAATAGGGAACTTCCAGACTTTCCTGATGAAAAGACCAGAGTTCAATGGAAAATTTAATCTTCAAATACAAGACTCAAGAAAGACATAAAAAGGTAAACAGGAAAGGGCAAAAAAACCCCAAAACACCATGTTATTCAATAAGGGTAAACTGTTTACATCCCTACATGGGAAGATGATACTTATAACTCTTGAGAACTGTATATTTATTATGACATTTAGACCAGATATACATAGACAAAGGGTGTGGGTTTAAGTTGACTTTGATGTAATGATAAAAAAAAAAAATCTAATGAAGTGGTAAAAAGGAATTGTAATGGGAGAAGAGGAAAGGAGGAAGCAGAAAAGGGTAAATTACATCAAATGAAGAGGCACAGAGACATATTACAGTAGAGGGAGAAAAGGGAGGAAGATGGGCATTGTTTGAACTTTACTCTCACCCAATTTGGCTCAAGGAGGGAATAACATACACAGGTATAAAAAATTAACTTGCCATATAGGCAGTAAGAGGGGAAAGGGGAAAGAGAAGGGAGGAGGCTGATAGAAGGGAGAGAAAATTAAGGGAGGTGGTGGTCAAAAGCAAAAGTGAGGAGGGAAAGGGAGAAAAAGAGAAAGAAAAGGATAAACAGGGGAGGGGGAACAGGATGAAGAGAAAAACACATATAGTAATCATAACTGTGAATGTGAATGGGATGAACTCTCCCATAAAATGGAAGCAGATAGCAGAATGGATTAAAAACCATAATCCTGGGGCAGCTAGGTGGTGCAATGTTTAGAGCACTGGCATTGGAGTCAGGAGGACCTGAGTTCAAATACGGCCTCTGACACTTCACACTTACTAGCTGTGTGACCCTGGGCAAGTCACTTAAGCCCAACTGCCTAAAAAAAAAAGAGTAAAAAAATAAAATAAAATAAAAACCATAATCCTACAATATGTTGTTTACAAGAAACACATTTGAAACAGAGTAACGCACAGGATAAAGGCAAAAGGCTGGAGTAGAATATATTATGCTTCAGCTGAAGTAAAAAAAGCAGGGGTAGCAATCCTGATGTCAGACAAAGCAAAACCAAAAATAGATCTTATTAAACGAGATAAGGAAGGAAACTACATCCTACTAAAAGGCACCACAGACAATGAAGTATATTATTACTAAACATATACGCACCAAGTGGTATGGCATCTAAATTCTTAGAGGAGAAGTTCAGGGAGTTAAAGGAAGAAATAGCAAAACTATACTAGTAGGGGACCTCAACCTCCCCCTCTCTGAACTAGATAAATCTAACCACAAAATAAACAAGAAAGAAGTTAAGGAGGTGAATACAATTTTAGAAAAGTTAGATATGGTAGACCTCTGGAGAAAACTGAATGAGGATAGGAAGGAATACACTTTTTTCTCTCAGCGGTACATGGCACATACACAAAAACTGACTGTGTACTAAAGAATAAAACCTCACAATCTGATACAGAAAGGCAGAAATATCAAATGCATCCTTTTCAGATCACGATGCAATAAAAATTATATGTAACAAAGGGCCATGGAAAGATAGACTAAAAATTTAATTGGAAACTAAATCTAATCCTAAATAATGAGTGGGTTTAAACAACAAATCATAGAAACAATCAA